ATTGTAAATAATTAGATTACTCACCATTAGGCTTGTTCTAAGACTAATACCTGTGTACGATGTGTTGTAAATGACTGTTTGGACATAATTGGTCACATGATTACAACTGAGGTAGAGTAAATATATTTTAGCTGTACTCAATAAATGTGTTGTAGCATTGTCTAAACCTGAACAAATATAACAAAAGTTAACTTGTAATGGGAGATTTGTAAAGTGTAAAATTATGATTAGTCTAAATCAAAACTACTACTTTGATTATCCATGAATCGTTGTCAAGCAGAAATGTCAGAAAATGCTGTTTAAAATTCTCAAATATCGAGATGTCCTGCATTCCTCTATTTATATCAAATTAAAGTTTATATATTTGGGGTTTTGGACGAAAAAATTAACGCCATCTTGGACTTTGAGAAACTGGGACGACATGACATTTTCACTGTTTTCTGACATCTTATAGAACAAAAGATTTATAGTTTAATTGAGAAGAAAACGTTCGATTAGTGGACAATTAAATGATTTCTTAGCTGTAGCCTTTATTATAATATATAGCACTTATAAGGGTCTACAGAAAGGGAGCAGAGGAATGGAGCTACCAACCTTGATGGTGACGTTGCCCTTTGTGATCTTCCTCATGTTGAATCCAACGGTAGGAATCATGTCTTCACTGAACTGGCCTGACTGAAACACACACACACACACTCCATTGATTTTGGTGTCATGAGATATGTGGCAGGAATGTCAGAACAGAATGCCAAAGATACTGGGTTCCTGGCGAGGGAGGGGGTAAGATGGCAGCTGGGTTTCAGTCCAGATGGAATACCATTACTCACCCCCCCCTCGTTTCCTGTCATCTCTCAAAAAAGGAATACACATGGCTTATATCATGTATAAGTTTGGACCTTAGCTCTCTAGCTCTAAAAAGTATGTTTTAACTGAAAGACATTGCTCTTAGTGCACGAGGGTCAACATTTATAAAAAGATAGATTTAAGAGAAGTCGAAATGTCACAAATACAAATAGTTAAACTAAAACACAGTAGAGATGAACAGCGGTTATATATATGTTTAGGCTCTAATGCAGACATGCTTATACACGCAAAGGTGGTTATAATGACACCTATACAGACATGCAGAAGGCCCAAATATTGATTTAAATATCAGCTTTATGTACATAGTATCCAATGTTTATATGCTTCTGTTTTGGCAGTAGATAATTACAGAGCATTCTAATGTATTCTGCTCAATTAATCGTGTTTTAATCGCAATAACGATTATGGCTTGCAACATTTAGAAAACAACGTAATCGAAATAAAACGATTATTTTTTTATTATTACTTTTTTTTTTTCAAATACATTTTTTCAGTTGAATTATACTTAAAGTCCAACTGTTAAAAACATACTGTTCACATTTTTTCCTCCAATAAATTGATGTTTTCAAAGTAAATGGATAATCGTTTTTAATAATAACGATATCAATTATTGACCCAAATAATCGAGATTATGATTTTTGCCATAATCGAGCAGCCCTGATGTATAGCATATGTTATATTGTGTATTCTTTAGATAGTCAATGTAACTATATCTCATGTCTAGTGCCTGTGAACATGCTGCTGTAACAAACAAAAAACTATGTTGAATGAATAAAGTATAGTAAGGCTCTAGTTTGCACTCCAAACTGCAATTCAGATTTTCAATAGAAAGAAATGTGGGTTTAAAATATTGGGATTTGATCTACATTAAAACAGTTCCTTACGAATTATGAAATGCAGTGTTTTTCCTGTTCCATTCACTCAGACATGTTGGCCTGTTTCAAGAGCTACAGCACCTCATGTTACCCTACACATCAATAATGCATTTCAGATTCTAAAAAAGCAGTGGATGGTACATACCAAAACTTCCACTAATATAAATAAGGTAAATGGGAAAATCTATGTTAGTGGGTCACCCAAAGATGTGTGGTGTGTGCATGGTCAGCAGGGGAGGCGGATGTCTGAGTCTAAAGAGAGGGAAGGTCACTCCGACAGCAGGAGGCTGATCGATCCTCCATCACCAGACCTATAAAACCCTTCCTCCGGCCTTCCCACCAGCACCACTGATGGGGGGGTTAATGTCCCAAAAAACGGCCTTTCATTCTGGTACGAACATCCCAATGTATGGAGGTTAACAACATCCACGTGAAAGCAGATACATAGAAACTGTATTTGTCAGAAATTAGGAAATGATTTTGTCCTAGCAGCAGTGTTGTCAAACATCACACAAGTTCAAATATACAATAACATTAGCAGCAGTATATACAATTCACAATAAAAAAGGACATATATCACTAAGGTATCTGCTGTATATGACACCAACATATTAAATACTCTACAATATACAGTCTCACTCGCTACAGGAATATATAGAAATATATAGACACATATTGGCTTTGGATTATATATACATTACAATTGTGCAAAGTAGCAGATGTGCACATTTACTAGCTAATATTAATATTACTACTGGATGATACTTCTTAGGTAGTCCATTCCGACAAGACTGTATGTTATTATGTAAATTGTATTTATTTAACACTACCCTCTACCACACAGTATTCTACAATGTTACACTTATTTTATCTTATAAATACTGCTTTTCCCTGAATGTGTTCTTATGTAAATGTTTTATTTTAAATACTATGTGCATGCCTTATTTATCTAATAGTGTGTTATTTGTATTTGTCGTCATCTATACTGCTGTAACTATATAAATGTCCCCTCTGGGACGAATACAGGAATTCAGATGTTTCTGATTAAACAGCACATCACAGCCGACATAAGGGTGAAGTGTTTGACCGTAAAAGCATGTTTTCTCAGTGAAAAACACAGCAAGCTAATAACAATGTGACATCTAAATCATCTTAACTCATTCAGCGGCTTACAGTAGTACAGCCACAGCTAGCTGACCTCACCACTGCAAGATAACAATGGATGCAGCCAGATGCTAACTGACAGCTGGCGCTAGCATAAAAACCACCCTCCACACTCACCGCTATCACATTGACGAAGGTCGTTTTCCCGGAGTACTGCAGCCCTACTAGGGTCAGCTCCATCTCCTCTTTCCAGAATAGCGCCTTGAACCAGTCCAGCAGTTTGTTGATTAGCGCGATCATCTTTGTAATCGTCTGATGCTAATGCTAGCTGCTGTTGCTAAGGCTAGGTTGCTATGCTAGGCTGCTATGCTAACGCCCCAACTGTCTTTTTTCTTGGGGACGCTGACAGTTGCTGTGACAACCACCGACGGTTACAGCAGAACGGAGGACACCGACAGGCTCTGTGTGAACCGGGTATGATGTTTAAAGAGTCGGTGTTTTTAGGCTCTAATGTCCGCTGTGTGTTTTCGGCTTTCTGTGATGTTTACTAGCTACGCCTTGTCCTACCAGCCGCGTCAAGTCAGATGTTAAACGTAATATCACATCCGGTACACCCTTTCACAATAACATAAGTACCCTGTCAGTCAAAAAAGGTTAAAACCAGAGGTGAAGGAAGTACTCAGATTTGTTGTGGTCTTAATTAAAGTACAAGTACTAGAGTGTAGGAATACTCTGTTACAAGTAAAATTGCTGCATTCATAGGTTAATCAAGTAAAAGTAGAAAAGTATTCTCATAAAAATATAGTGAAAGTAGCGACAGTAAAAGTAGTCGTTGTGCAGATTGGTCCATTTCAGAATAATATGATGTGTTTTATAATGATTGATCATGAAAGTGTTCTCAAAGCTGGTAAAGGTGCAGCTAGCTTTAATGACTTTGTATACTGCAGGGTAGCTTGTGGATTTACTCCAGGTGGAACTAAAGTCTGATTTAACACTTGATTATATTTCACATCATTCTTCCACATCTGTAAAGTAACTAAAGGTATTGAATAAATGTAGTGGAGTAGAAGTACACCATTTACCTCTGAATTGACTCCACTTCGAGCAATACAATTACTATCAAAGCACTTATATACTAACAAAGCACGAAAGCCAGTTGAGTAGCACTTGAAATGTTTGGCTCTATGAAACCTGATGTACTTATATGATTCTGTTTTCTTCTAGTTTGTATCCTCTTGGTCGAATGCACTTATTGTAAGTCGGATAAAAGCGTCAGCTAAATGTAATGTAATGTAATTGTAGTGGAGTAGAAGTACAAAGTAGCATAAATGGAAATACTCAAGTCAAGTACTAGTGTCTCTAAATTGTAATTAAGTACAGTACTTGAGTAAATGTACTTAGTTACTTTACACCTCTGGTTAAAACAAACATGTTTATATAAAAAATGAATCTGCTGTGAATTTGAACACAAACAGCGTTTATCATCTTACATTTTCTTATTAGTTATTTGTATTTTATTTGAAGAACTCCTGCACATCCCTGTCAGTGTTAATGTTTCTTGATTTTTGCTGTAGCCTTTTTGCTTTAATTAATTAATTAATTTGTTGTTCTATTCACTATGTAGATTGTTCTTATACACCATGGCACATTCCATCTACGGAAACCTACTTAATAATAAACCTGATGCACCCGATTCTGTTGATACAGCATAGATGTATTATTAGAACATGCTTCATGCTGCAGGTTGAGTGTGCTTCCTGTTTGGGTGGGGTTGAGAGAGGAAGAAGAGGAGAGTAGGAAAAGAGGAGACGGATAGAGGTAGATGCTCTGGTGAGTGAAACACTGCTCTCTGCTGTAGAGACAGGGTACTTACAATCATTTACCTCTGAGTTGTAGTGGAGTAGAAGTACAAAGTAGCACAAAATGTATACTCAATTGAAGTACAAGTACCTCAAAATTGTACTTAAGTACAGTGCTTGAGTGACTCTACTTAGTTACTTTACACCACTGTACTTGTGTTTTTATAATCAAATGATGTGGACATTGAGTCAGGTTACTATCGTGGCTATGGAAGCGCTTTTTGACCGATACAATCCCAACATCTAATCATGTAACATCGTGTTTATGATTAAAATAAAAACGTAATTACTGTATACATAACATTTTTGGGTAATTTATTTTAATTACTTAAGTTTACAAAGCCACACAGGATACACTGCAGTATACAGTACCAACAGAAAACCGTACAAAAAAGTGAGATACGATGAAGGTCAAATGAACTATTCAAAGCAAATACATAGTGGATAGCAGACACATGCTGAAGAAACATTAACTGTACAATAGATTATAAACAATTAAAAACCATTTATCAAATATATAAATACAACGAAGAAGAAAAAAGGGATAAAAATAGGACATCACATAAATACAAGTCTATTAAAATGTGTGTTGAGAAGCGATTCAAAGCTTGCCCGTATTCGAGTCCTGAACGTGACCCTTTGTTTAACGTTATCCTGTCTTTCTGTCCTGTCCACCTAACAAATGGCCAACTTAGAATTAAAAGATCAATACTTATTTTGCATTCATTATCCCATATGTTCACACTTTCTCTCCCAACGCAGAAATTAATAATATTCATTTGCAAAATTGGGACACAGTAAACACGAAATATTTGATCTTTCTTTAAATGCTCAATACATATCAGCGACAACATCGTTAATATACATTCTTTTAGCATGGGTAATCCTGTAGTGAAAACCTTTATTGGGACAGTCCACAGTGAACATGAACACCTGGGTTCTCGTAGCCTCTGCTGCACAAAACATCCCACAAACCAACATGTTGGGGTTCCTGTTGGTTCTTGGTTCCCCAAAGTCTCTACCTGTCTTTGAGTTGTGTTGCTGGCTCAACAAGTTATCTTGTTTCCATAGTTATGGTGCTGGTTACAGGACTTGTAGCGCTAACTGCTGGTTGTGTGGTGTCTTGGATTTCTTCAGGTCTGTATCGAGCCTTGTTGGTTCTCCAGGTTCTTCTTGTTCTGTGTGTTGTCCAGCTCCAGGTTCTGAAGCTGAACGCTGACCTGCTCCTCTGGGTTCTGCTGGTTCTGGTTCTGCTCCTGAGGAGGAAACACTGGGGTTTAACTTTTCCTCTACTGTTACTAAACACAACGACTGTAAGGGCTGTCCTCAGCTAGCATTAGCACTAAAGGCAGTTGAAGAGACATTTGCAAAAACATTGTTATTTTGTAATTTTCTCAAGTTGATGTTATGTTGTTTTTGGTTTCAGGATAGTTTCTGAATATTGTTTTATGTTAATTGCTTTGTGCTTCGTCATGTTTTATAATCTTCTGGTACCTTGATGGAATAAGTATCTTAACTTTAACCAGATATGCTTGTGATTATTTTATATTTTTTCCATTTGTTATTTTGTAATTCTCTTAACCCTTAGATGATAAGTGGGTCTTTTTTGACCCGGTGAGGTGGTTTTCTTATAGTATCTTTGTAATTAAAAAATGTTATCCTTTCATATTCCAGCTATTCCTCAAAACACATGTTTTGGATATCATGCCATTCACATTTTAAATTGACATTTTATACATTTTAAGAAATTGTAGTTTTTGTATTACTACCCCAAGCTTCCATAAGTGGGTCAAAAATGACCCGCATGCCTTCTCTATGGAATTTCGTTTTTTTTCAAAAATGTAAAAACATTTCTAAAATGTGTTATGGAAATCTTAGACCCAGTCAATACTGTGGAGATACACAAGTCAGGAAGATCAACAATAAATGGTGAAACAGACAGAGTTGTCTTTCTGGTTATTTATTTGAAGCTTCAAAGACACAGGTCTCACAGAGTATAGGATAGTCTGCAGGAGTGTGCGCAATAGTAACAAAATAGCAAAGCTTATATACAAGAAAGGGCGGGCAGACAGAGTTTGCTCAGAAATCTGCTTTCACACGGTCTCATATTGTTATTAGACACTTGTCCTTGAGAAAAATAGTGGAAAATTAAATATTAAATATTTCTAGTATGAACCAAAATATAATACTAAATATTATACAAGTGACCAAAATGACAAAAATGGCATAAACACACATATTATTCTAATACGGGTCCTTTTTGACCCACTTATGGAATAGTGTAGTCACTCGTGCATCTAAGGGTTAAGTTGTTATGTTGTTTTTGGTTCCAGGATAGTTTCTCAATATTGTTTTATGTTAAATGCTTTGTGCTTCGTCATGTTCTATTATTTTGGTACCTTGTTGGAATACGTGTCTTAACTTTAACAAGATGTGCTTGTGATATCTGTATGTTTCTATGGGATATATTCCATAAAAACGCCATTTCCCAGCAGGACACATGATGCAGGGATCAGGCTGGAGTACCTGGTTGAGCTGCAGCTGGCGGCTGAACTGGGCCAGAGTGGAGTACAGGAACTGGTACTGCTCTGTGGTCTGGATCATACCACCTCTGCACAGGACGGGGGGAATAAACAAAATGTAACACCCCAGATATAGAGACAAGAATCTGATAAAACACACAGACAGGAGAGAGAGGAGAGTTTTCCCCACCTGTCGAGTCGGAGCTGACAGACGGTCTCCAGGATGTCGAGCTGCCCGGTGTCTCTGAGCTGCTGACAGCCGATACTGCTGACGATGAAACACCCGGTCCTGCCGATACCTGCACTGAGAGGAGAGGAGACGGGCAGACGAGACGTTTAACGAGAGAGAACACCTTCAAGACCCTGTGCAGCCGCAAATGGTACTGTTACATTTTCAAAACATACAATTCAAATGAAAAAAAAACAATGTAAAGTCAGTAAACTGTCAGCCATGAGGATGATGGTTATAGAGGGAAGAGGATATTGTGTTTTCTATTTTTCCTTTAATGTTTGTTTATTTTGGTTACATACTAAATGTGTATATATTTTAAGTCTGCTAATTGCATCTAGTTGTACTGGGAATACCAGATACATAAAACACTTCTTCTTTACCCTGTATTCCCCCATTTGACCGAGGATAGACATCAAAAGGAGTACAAAATAAATAGATAAACAATCATATAATATAAAATAATAAAATAATAAACCAAAAAATATATATATTATAAAATAATAGATAATAAAATAAAACAAATTAAGTTAGGAAAGCAGTTAGTAGTGTTTTCAGTTCAAAGTGCAAGGTGTTTGCTGTTGCGGTTACAAACGTTCCCATCATGTCTTCAGAAGTACATGAAAGGTTTTGGTTTCATATTTAAATTCTAAATTCATTCAAATTCTGTTAAAAAAAGGGTTTTCTCCTCTGCGGTCTGTGTGCGACTACTGAGCCGTGTCCTTTAATCTTGCTCTCTAGATTTATCTCGAGCAACACACAAGTTCTTCTTTGATCACACACACGTGATAATGCGTCCTCAAACAGGAAGTAGCTTTCGAAACATCTGCAGCATCAGAGGCTGTTTTACCGTTAAGTGACCCAGAGGGTAATAAACAGAGTTGGGAGAAGTACTTAGATATTGTACTTGAGTCAAAGTAGAAGTATTACAGTGTAGTATTGTCGTACTTATGTATAAACGTTTGTGCTCGTACTTAATATTTAGATTTTTCTTGGAATATCATAACTTTTTTGCCTTAAAATGTTCAACTTTCTTTCTCGTAACATCCACCAACTCTTTTTACTGACAATGCTATGATTTTGTTTACGTGTAACACATCGTTTGTCCACACATCTTCAACAAGCACCAGAACAGGAACCAACCTGCAGTGGACGACGATTGGTCCAGGATCCGGGGCGGGGGCTGTGATTGGCTGACAGCTGGGAGGTGGGAGGGACTTCCTGTATGTCTCCACCTCCTCCACGAGTCTCAGCAGGGGAGCAGTGCATTGTGGGATGTGGTGGTCTGGCCAAGAGGTGAACCAGTAGTGTCTGATGGGACGATGCTCCGAACCCAGCTACTCACACACACACACACACACACACACACACACACACACACACACACACACACACACACACACACACACACACACACACACACACAAAAACAACATTTTCCATTCAGAGATTTTGTGTTCAAATGTAAACCAAATGGAAAGACAAAAAAAAGTTGCATACTCTCTCAGCTATTTTCTTTAAACGCAACCTTTATAATATGGATTAGAATATTGAATGGTTTTAAGTTTTAAAGTCCAAAGTCCATATTAGAACTACAGTATGTGCTTGTAAGTTTCACTTGGTTGCTGTTTTTTTGTTCGTGCTCAGAAATGTGTTCCGTTTTCATTGGAAAGTACTTTGTTAATGTGGTAATTTTATCATACGAAAACAAGTTCTCCGTCTACATTCAGTTGATGGAAACACAGATGGGTTTCATGATGAAACCAAGAGTTGATTTGTATCTCAACAGAGGCGGAAAGAACATGAATGCTTAGAGCTGATATGTGTGATATAGCTTTAAAAAACATGCACTTCAATTTAAGATGTCCTGATTTACCTCTGCAGTTTGGACTGATTGGTGTAGTCAATGCAATTCTACATAAACATGTTGTGAATTTGTTTGCTAATGTTTGAGTGCCAGCGGGGCAAAGTGTCACTTCCTGTCAGAACGTGGCCACATTTCTGAGGCGACTTTATCTCTAAATGATGATAACGCTGCGGCATCACTGTGGCAGATGTTACACTCTGATGGACATATTTGGAAACCTGTTCGTGAACAAGGCCTTAAATCACAGGATTAGTATGAATTACAACTAGAGATGAAGTGGAGCAGAAAATAAAAATACTCAAGTAAACTAAGTACTTAAGTACTCTACTTCAGTAAAAGTACTTCACAGTACCTGGATGTCCATGTCAGTAACAGTGAAGCCGTCTTTCTCCCAGCTGTCTGTCACTCTGAGGAGGAATCTGCCAAACCGTTCTGTCTCTCCTTCCTCCTCCTCTTCCTCCCTCTGCTCCTCTTCTTCCTCTTCCTCCTCCTTCACACTCCTCCTGCTCTTCCTCCTCCTCCTCTCCCTCGGCTGTGGCCAGTACAGCTCACACTTCTGGAGAAAAAAAACAGAGCTCACACACTTTCAGGACAAGTCAAGGTAAAAAAGACATGAAAACAGTAGAGAGGAGCTGAGGAGTCGACAAACCTCGTTGTTCTCCTTCAGCCTGGTAACCATGACGATGATGCTGCTCCTCTCCTGCCACACCATGTCCCAGAAATCCCCCACGGTGTGCAACATCGGCCCCTGGGTGGCAATGTAAGCTCTGGGGGCCCCTCCGTAACCCTGCAGCACAGAGAGGTCTTCCAATTAATCAATCAACCAACATACCAACCAACCAAACAACCAACCAACCAACCAACCAAACAACCAACCAATCATTGAATCAATCAACCAACCAGCATACCAACCAACCAAACAACCAACCAACCAACAACCAACCAACCAAACAACCAAACCAACCAACCATTGAATCAATCAACAAACCAACCAACCAAACAACCAACCAACCAACCATTGAATCAATCAACCAACCAGCCAACCAACCAAACCAAACAAACAACCAACCAACCAACCAACCAACCAACCAACCAACCAACCAACCAACCAACCATTGAATCAATCAACCAACCAGCATACCAACCAACAAACAAACCAACCAACCAACCAAACAACCAACCAACCAACAAACCAACCAACCAACCAACCAACCAACCAATCAACCAATGCATCAACAATTGAATCAATCAAACAACCAACCAATACATCAATCAATCAATTAACCAACCAATAAATAAATCAGTCAATCAAGCAAGCAAGCAATACATTACATATACAGTTAATATCTCAATCACTCAATCAATCCAACCATCTGATCACAACCAATTAAAACATGTATAAATTAATCAAATTACCAATCAAAAAACAGAATCATAAACCAATCATCACATATCAATCAATATCTATCAATCCATAAATGTATTAATCGATAGAAATGCATGTTAATAGCACATTAAAGACTTTAAGGTTACTGTCATACTCTACATGTGACTGATATTCTGATTATAAAGTAAATGTACAACTCAAACACAGAACCAAAACATTGTTCAGACTTGTCCTCTTAGAACTTTGAGACTGCTATATCCACTTCTTTGCTCTCTCATCGAGTAACTTCATAGCAGTCTGAACAGCAGTGTTTGTATCCCTCCTGAATCACCCAACAAGGATGTGCACCTGTAAGTTGCTCTTAAAAATTGTATTTGGATTAAAGGATGCCTTCCCTTGCTTTTGAGATCCTTGGATGCTGCATTTATTTGATAGTTCATATTTGTTTTGGAGTTGAACATGTAAATACAGCTTATTCTGCCCATTTAATAAATTGCACAAATCTTTAATAACTTGCATAAATTGTTGTTGTTTTTTTTGCAAGTGGTTACATTTTTAAGAAACCCATAACTGCATCATGCAGAAGATATGACTACTTTTGAAACCACAAAACATCTTGGACCTCATGAGACAGGAAGTGAAGAGTTAAGACTGTTCTCTTCATCAATAACAACCGCGACAACAACAAAAGTGTCCAATCAGTCACAGATGTACGTTTATTTTGTATTAACCTGTACATGTAAATCAATTTGCACGTGTTTGTTATTCTATTAAACAATTTGTAGATGTTGTTGCACATCTGCTTTTCAACAACACACACACATACACACACACACACACACAGCGCTGAGGCGGCAGAGTGTGAGGGATGCGTGGGCCGGCGGTGAGGGGGGGGGGGGGGGGAGGGGGTTAGTCATTTACGGACGTGTCACTTCCTCCCTCACTTCCTGTGGTTTTCCTGGTTGTCACACTCCTACGCTGACAAACCGACGGCTCATATCTGAGTTTCTGTCTGTTTAGATGTCCCACACACACACACACACACACACACACACACACACACACACACACACACACACAACAAGACGCCCACGCTGAGTGACAGCGCTGTCACACTCTATCAGCTTGTTTTCATTTGGAAACATATTTTCTTCAGTGTCAGTAAACACATTTAATGAGGATAGAATAATGAAATAATAAAGTTCAAAGTTAAAAAAGAGATGGTGACACTCGAACCAATGATCTGCCAAGAGGTTCCTTACAATACAGATTTATTTTGATAAATAAGTAATACTGAATAAAGAGGGAACTTTGAGATCCTTTTGATGTGCACATGAACATTTTAGTTTGTACATTTTCCAGGCTTCATTCAAATTATTAAAACTCTGCAATGCTGACTAGTGATGTCACTATGTTACTAAAGTAAACAAAGGAGTCCAATGGAGGTGTTTCTACTGTGGTTAGGGAAATGGAATAGAACCTGATATCTCGCCCTAACCTGATACTAAATGGAAAAATAGCTGCCAAAAAGGACAAATGCATGTGCCTTGACTCAATATGAAATAATGTAGGTGTCTGACCCTGATGTAGTTAGCGTTGATGTAGCGGTCTGGCGACGCCTCTTCCTCCAGGTTCCTCAGGACCACCCGGCTCTCAGGGTCTAAAGAGCAAACAACAAACCACAATCATCAACAAGAGTTACAAAAAACAGGGTCTGGTGTGTTTCTACTGATTGGAGAAGGAAAGCTACTGACTGGGCAGGATGGTTTTGTATCTGTCTTTGATCATGTGACCTTGAACATCGAGCTCTGCGGCGTTCACCAAAGTTCGGAGGGATTTTCTGTGGAGGAGACAGGGACGTTACAACAAACGCCATGAATGCATGAAACATTCTTTGTAACTTTGAATGCACCTCATTACCTGGTACTCTACATTCAGTGTGTTTTTGTCGATGCCCGCCAGCTGCAGCAAGGTGTGTTGTGAGAGGCCGGGAAGAGGTGTGAAGCAGCTGGAGCCACACCTCCTTTGGGGTGGAGACAGAACACACAGGCTCCGCCCCCAGACTGCTCACGTCCAATAGCAGCGAGAGGTTAGAGCCCCGCCTACAAGGATAACCAATGAAAAAACAGCATGAGCATAATTCATTTTTGGAAAGTGATTACATTTATAGATAATAGGGACATGTTATGATATTTAGTAAGCGTTTGTTTGAAACTCACCTCTCTTGCAGGCGGACTGAGGCTTTGCGAGGAGGAGTGGTCAGGGGAGGGGGCGTGGTCGGGTCCTCGAGAGGATGTGAAGCTGAGTGCACTGCCGACATTCTGTAGGTGTGTGTGTGTGTGTGTGTGTGTGTCTGTGTCTGTGTGTGTCTGTGTGTGTGTTAAAGTTGTCCTTAGCTGTCCATCAACACACGCTGTAGGAAAGAGAGGGACTATGAATGTCAAAACAGTGGGAACAAAATCTGCTTTATCTCAAAAAAGAAAAGGAATTATTCAAATCTTCTGAACAATTATGGCTGAAGTCATCTGATTTGTGCAGAACGTCAAACACTGAAGCTTCTTTAGCTGCAGTTTCTAAAACAAGATGATAACGATAAAAGAGAAACTTCCCTTTTTAAATAAAAAGACAGGATATTCAGCAGCCAGACAGAAACCTGAAACCAATCACTAACCCACCCAGGGAACTCCTTCTCTGTTTTTATTCTGAATTTCTTTCTCTTTTTTTCTCTCAAAACATACAGAGTTATTCTAGAGTTCATAATACTTAAAAACAGTCTAAGCTAAAGCTTTATCAGAAAGATTTAAAACACTGTTAGATCGCGATTTATATTGTTGAAGTGTGTAAAATATCACAGCTTTGATGAAGAATCAGCTACATGTTGAGTGCCTGTGAAATCACCACCAACAGCTCAATGAGATGTCCAGCATATTTACTGTAGCAGCCTCCCTGACCGAAACAAAAACATTGAATGTACTCACCGTTATGTTCCAAGTCTCTCTATTTTAAGTCGCACTTCTTTATTTTCTGCACCCGCTTGTGGTTTTGTTTGTAACAAAACTTCAATACACAAAGTTTGAATGACAAAACTATTTGTGCGATGACAAAGCGAAGATCCCGCCACAACTGAGAAGATCTACTTCAAAGACTCATCATCGTGAAGACTTGACTTGCCTGAACCTGATGGTGTGTGTGTGTGTGTGTGTGTGTGTGTGTGTGTGTGTGGTGTGTGTGTGTGTGTGTGTGTGTGTGTGTGTGTGTGTGTGTGTGTGTGTGTGTGTGTGTGTGTGTGTGTGTGTGTGTGTGTGGTGTGTGTGTGTGTGTGTGTGTGTGTGGTGTGGTGTGTGTCTGATTCATTGTGTTTCCACACAAGCTCAGATCTGAACCGTTCAGTGTGTCTCCATCGGAAGAGTTTCCTCACAGCAGGAAGTCAGATCACCCACACTGTCTCAACACACACACACACACACGCGCACACACACACACACACACACACACACACACACTCAGGGGGAGTCAGTATACTGAAGCAAGCGTGTGTTATTGATATGAAACGATAAGAGATATGAGTGTTTTTTTCTTGTCTGCTCTTGTTTCGTGTCAACAGTCTAATCACATTCAGACAAGAACAGTCCAAATGTTTCCCAATTTACCAAGAAACCTCACCATATGAGAGCTTGGCAAGGTATCCCAGCATGCATTTCACATCAACCATCAGTGATTGTAGAAGATATGAGAAGGGTTATCATTTTCTTTCAACACTTGTTATCGCTCGACAAATTAGTTTGAGATTTTTGAAACTGTCAAATGTTTCATTACGTTTTAAAGAGGTCATATTTTCAGCTTCATATTAGTATTGTGTTTGTCTACTGGGACATGTCTCCATGCTTTAATGTTCAAAAAGCTCTTTATTTTTCTCATACTGTGCTGCAGCACCATCTTTTCACATCCCCTCTGTCTGAAACCAGAGCCCAGTCTGCTCTGATTGGTCTGCTGGCCGGCTCTGTTGTGATTGGTCAACCGCTTAGAGATGTCCCGCCACCTATCACGTACATTGTGTTAGGCACGACGTTACATAGTGATTGCACTATGTTCCTGAGAGTAAACAAGGAGTCCAATGGAGGCGTTTCAAGGCGGGGGGGTTGGGGGTTGGTGGGAGAGGAGGGACCACAGGGCACAGTGGACATAACCATTGCACAGAAACCATATAACCAACTACAGGAAAGGGAAAAAACAAACCAAACACCTAATGGGGCCTCTTTAAGAACATTTCCATTCCAATACTTTTGTACTTTAACCGAAGTAATATTTTAAATGCAGGATTTTTACTTGTAACAGAGTATTTTTACAATTTAGTATCCATATTACTTAATATCAGGTCTGAATGCTTCCTCCACCACTGACAATGATATGTTTGATAATATATTGATCAGGCTTACCGGTTATTTGACAGCCATGATGTTTTTGAGTAATTCAGCAGAGTGTAAATCTTCCTCTGATACCGGGGCTCCCGCTGACTTTCACCTAAAACAACAACAACACTGACTTTTCTGAACACATCGTACTCAGTCAGTGACTAACTAACCAACATAACTAACGAAATAAGCAGAGAAAGAGGAAGGAGATAAGTTTCCTCTGCAATAGCAAGAAGAAACACGTGAAGAAAGAAGAGCGAGAAAGTGAAAGTGAAGGAGAGAAAGTCCAAATATGAGGTAAAGGAGAGAGAAGAAACAGCAGGAATAGACATGTCCTTGTTTTCTGCCGGTATTCAACGTGTTCAGGTAGAGAGAGGGAGACCTGAGGGGAGAGAGGGATCGAAAATGAGTCAGAGAGAAAGAAAAGATGGACGGATAATGAAAAAGAAAGGAAGAGAGACGCTCCGGGCGTTGATTATTAAAACACCAAAAGCAGCTTCTCATGAATCATTCATGTCAAATCTACAATACAATCATAAAACACCAGCAGCATGACACACATCTATAACATAAGAAAATAACAAACATCAATGCGACTCTCGAACACATTGACGCACCTCCATTTTGTTTTTCATTCATCAGTCGAGAAAATTGAATATTTAGTGGTTATTGAATTTAATCCTGTTTTCATCAAATTGACTTTATACAGGAAGTCAAAGAAGTCCCTGTAACATAACATTGTTTTTATTTGGGATTACAGTTTTGAAGCCTCGAGTTTGGTATTTGTGCCGTCGATACCTATTGGTTTTTTGGGAACCAGTAATGACAGAGGGTTGAGCTAAGTACTATTACACTCTGAACAAGACACATTTAAGTGACCAAAATTTTCAAATGAACTTCAACAACGGAAATTCAATTATCCTTTGAAAGGTTTGAAGTTGTAAAATGAAAACCTGGACCCCCCCCCTTATCACCTGAATCTCCTCCTAGAGCACCATTGAGTTATTTGTAACCAAATCTCTCTCAGAGGGGCGTGGGGAGGGGCTCTTTATTTTCATCTAAAGTAACAGACAGAGAATCAGCACTTTGGAAACAGGGCTGAAACAGAGGGGATTATGGGTAATGCTGCAATGATCCGTTTTGTGTTTGGAGCCAATCAGAGACAGGCTCTGTATAAATCTGAGACCTATAAATTAATAGATGAAAACAGTATAATAGGGGACCTTTAAAGGGTCACTTTGCATCCTCTGTTTTGCTCTAAATGATGCCAAAATTACCCAAATTAACATCCTGCTGCATTGAAGAAGACTTGAAAGTAACGATCGAGACCATAAAATATTTACGTGACAATAAAATCCTGAGGAGAAGAAGGGTCATTTTATGGTGGACTTCTACACAAACAACTTGTGTCGCCCAACCTATTGGATTTGACAGAGAATGTGGGGGATAAAACAATAACGATATGTATTGTGATGTTTATAACATCCAAATGTATAATTGTACTATTATCACCAGACCCATGTACTTTAGTTTAAGGTACTTTAACACGGTAAATAAAATAACTGTTGCTCAGTTATATAGAAAAAATGTTACATATTTCCTATGAACAAATATTTCTTTGTAGAAGGACTGGGAACGTTTTTTCATTCATACTTTGCATGTACTTCAAGTTATCAATTCAATATGTAGTAACTTATGTCTACTTCTATACCTAATACTTATCATATACAATTATAAAACAACATTGTTTCCACACTAATAAAGTGGTGATGATATTCTTTACAAAGAATAATCAAAAGTATTTACCTCACAAACACTATATATTTACCTCGCCGTTCAAAGTTATCTTTATGGTGAACAAGTTTCTTTAACCCCCCCTTTCTCTCACCTCTTCTTCTCTTCTTCTTCTTCTTCTTCTTCTTCTTCTTCT